CTTTTTTTTCCTTGAGTGAAAATGCAGATCATTTTTCTGCCTCTGAGTAAAAGGGTAAGAAGCAACCTGATAAGCAGAGACCTGCCCGTGGTAAATCTAGCTGCAGCTGGAGCCATGAATGAACACGTCAAGAAGCTAAAGCAATCACTGCAGATTTTCCCTGCTCCAACACACATGATGTAACACATGAAGGGGTCTGTAATTAGCTGTTATGTCCCACCAGGCTCGGTGTTATTAGCAGGAAATACAGCTAAGAGCTGTGCACATAACATTGTGCTAAGTTTATTTTGTTAAATTTAATTACTGACTTTTTGAATAAACTGTACTTGTACAATGTTTAACATTTTGCTCATTCTGTTCACTACAGATTCTTAGGTCATTTGTTTCAGCTGCTTATCGCACACTCACATCTCGGTGAAGTCACACTGAGGTCACACCTTTCCTGACTCTTTGACGCTTCATTGACAAAAAGTCAACAGTGGCTAAAACTCATGATTTTATTGAGGAAATTGACTCAGCGTGACTCAGCATAAGTCAAGAACACATACTGAAAAATATTTGCTAGACTGTCATAATTAGGAATAAAACACAACAGGGCATGATGTTACAGGAAAATAACCAGCATCAAAGCTGCGTAAAGTGGAGTTACTGCTACCATACCGAAAGTTGATTATTTTCCTATAATAGCACATCGTGAAGTGTTTTATTCTTCGTATACTACAGCAATTTGACAACAATTACAATTTGTGTCTTGATTAAATGACACTTCCTACTTTTCAATTCAATTTTATTTATAAAATCCATCGTTTAAACCTGAGAGATGATGTTGCAGTAAGTTGCAGCTGTGTCTGTGATAAGTCTATGCGTTAGTACTAGCCAAGTCCATAAGAGCTAGAAAGACAGAATGCTATGCATAATACTAATGATATTACACAGGTGCACGTTCTCGATAATGTAACACATATATTAATAAGAGTTTAAATCTTTTTTTAAAGATTATTTTAAAGTACTTAATCAAATCATCATCATCATCAGCTGAATGACAGCTTTGATTTTTACTTAGGTCCTTCTTCCAAGTAAAGAACTTTGCTCTAACTGACAGGAATGTGACAGTCTCTCTCTCTCTCTACTCTGAAGTTTGTCTAACTTCTGCTACCTTTGAAAACTGATCTTTCAACCTCTTTTGAGAATTGTCCTTGACCCAGGAGAAATGCAACTCAACTCCAGCTTTGAAGTCAAATGGATGTTCTGGGTTTCACAAAAGCACACTGTGCTCTGGTAATACAATCTAATACATAGAGAGAAACTATGTAGACTGTTATGTACTGACCAAGGTCGCATTCATTTCTGTATAATACAACTGATTAAATCCTTTCTGAGTGTGCAAACTGGTCAAAGAGTGCAAAAAAAAAGTGGTTTTGATGCATTCGATTTGATTGGGGGTCGGGGGGTGGGGGGGGTGTCTCACTGTAAAAATGGACCTAGTATTGAACATGTGATGGACAAGTCAAGACCTTGGAATTATATATTTCTGTCTGACAATTCTGTGAATTTTACTATACTCAGCCATACAGGCTTGACCCTCAATAAGTCAATGGGAAAGACTTTTTCAACTTTCTTTTTAATCAATGTATCTGGTGTAAAACTTCTTACATATATTCAGTGACAGGTAAATAACATTGCCATAAAAATAACACACCCTTATACTTCCTCATAAAGTCTTGAAGAATTAATGTCTCACAGGGGTGGACAAATCATAAATTCATTAACTAGCCCACCAGTGAAGTGAAAGCTCCAGTGTGCTGCCCAGTGCCGTGTTTCAGTTGCCCAGACTCAGCTAAAAAGTGATATCTAATGCAGTGTAATCAAGTACAGCACGCTAGTTAGCGCATTAATGCAGACTAAGGGGGGAAAAAACAAACGTGTACATAATCATTATCCATTTTTAAGAAAGTTTACAATGTAGCACATTGTGTTCGTGCCACTGACATTAAGTCAGCAAGCTGTTTCCGTTTTGAGAGGTGTTCTGTCCTCATATTGCACATACAGGATGTTACTCTGGTTAGAGTCTTCATTTTCTCTCGATATGTTTAACCAATGATTTGACTGTGTAGCCAGCAGTTATATGAGTTAAATGATGGACTCTACTTTACTTTGCTCAGTTTTGTCAGGGTTTCCACATACCTGCATGTTCCTGATTCAGAAAAGATCATCTGTGAATCCATTCTACCTACAGACAGATCACACCTTGGCCAATGTGTGTAGTGCGTCACACCAGCACAAAGTGTGTTTGGACACAGCCTTAGTACTAAATGAAACCTTTTGTTTGCAAATCTCACTGAGAAGTAGAATTTTTCTTTTTTTTTGGTTATTGAACCTACCTGCCCGTCTGAAATCTATACTAACTAACTAATAACTCGGACATGAAATCTGTTTTTCTTGTAGCCCGGGCTACTGATTTGTTCAGCCCTGTGTTATGAATTCATGTGACCCTATCATGTTTCAGTTTGCAAATGCAGGCCATACAGTATCATTTACCAGAGGTAAGCGACAGTGTGTTTATACATGTGAATCTCTGCGTATCCTCCTCTTGGCTTTTTCTGCTGACTAATGACATATTTATGAAACTGCCACATTCAATCAGATAGTGATTATCGGATCTTTGACCAATCGCACACTAGCTGACACAGACACACACAAACATGTATGACTGTACATACACACAACAAATACAAGTTACTAACAATATACATACTGATGTATGTAAGTATTTTCATATACTCTTTTTACATGCTGCACACAAACATACATACACACACACACACACACACACGCACACACACGCACACACACACTCGCACCAGTGTTCTCTACCTTGTGAAGTTGTCCACTCTTGTCCCCCAGGAGTGCAATGGTGTGGCCAGCCTCAGTTGCTACAGCGACAGCGGTGAGCTGGGTTGTCCAGGTTTTGGCAGGTGTGGCTTGGAGAGGCACTGCACTGGCGATAGGGCTAGGGGTGTGCTCACCTCCGCACGGGTACTCGGACACAGATTTCTGTATACACATGCAAACACACATGGTGAGATGAGTCCACCGGACTAATGGCTTTATTCTCAGTCAGGGCATTTTGCATCAAATCACAATGGCGATACATTATCCTGCAGCAGTATAAAGAATTAATGTAAAGCGGAGGTCACAACAGACATTTCAGTTCCATTGACTTCCATTCATACGCATACAAATGCTGAAGACCAGAAACGCAAGCTCAATGCGAAGAAGTTTGACAACGCCTTGGCACGTTGCCAGCCATATTCGCGGCGGTCTCCGAAGAAATTTTGCATGCTGAAAGTCTAGTGTGACCACTGCATTAGTGGGGTTGTGCTATCTTTGTTCTTACAGTGCAGGGTTATCCAATCCGATGTTTTCAGCAATCCACCAAATGCTTGTAAGAACACAGAAGTTCCCACCTTCACAACTTTGACTTAACAGCAAACAACAACCAGTAGGGAAACGATAAATGCATATTTTTGTACAGATTACACAGTCAAAAATTTCTCAGTTCAGCAAGAAAACAGTGGTTGCTTTAGTATGATTTAGGGCAGGTTTAGAGGAAGAGGTTGTAAAATCCAACCTATATTTTTTGGAGAGGGATCAAAACAAAAAGAATGAGAATCATGGTAGCTTGAATTTGATCAGTAAATAGTAATAGTAATAACTGAAATGCATTTTAATCAGAATTTTGAAGAAGTTAACAGTTAGGTAACCATCCAATCATACAATGTGACATTAACACAATTTTACCCCTAACCCTCCTTCTGGCTCATCGTAGTCTAATTTCTTGACAAGTTTGGTCTACGAAGTTTACTTCTTTTGTTTTAGAAGAGATCCACAAGGTCAATGAAGCTGACAAGCAAAGGTAGCGCGTGCCCGCAAACCTCATGCCTAAATCATTACCCACTCACCTCAAACCATGATATGATATCTCAAACTGACTTCTTTATGTGGTTCCTGACCCTGTATGACACACTGTTCTCTATAAAAATGGATAAAAATTGGAAGTAGCAGCCATCACCTTCTTTCTCAGCACAGAGTTTGGTATCAAACGTGGCCCAAAATTTAAAGGTGGAACTGTAATTTAAACGTGATTCACACAACACACACTTATTTTGCTTTGTTATGGCATTTTTCTATGTACCAATAATACCAAATTCTGTCTTTTCAGGTGTTGATGATTTACGATACAGTTTGCACAATGCTAAACTGGAGAATATAATCTTCTCTTACTAGCTATATAAGCCTTGTAACTGCAGTGCTGCACCAAATCAGCAAACTTCAGACACATACTACGGCTGGCTGATGGATTATACTTGGAGTGGAAAATAAGGAAAATTCCATTTTGCCCAAACTCTACCTTTAATCTTTTCACTGCGTAGTGTAAGGCAAGCAATGTCCATATAAATCATCAAACCTGGCTCTGAAATTCAAATCCAGCACTGTGCTGAACTGTGGCCACCGTGTCCTTGCACTTTTCTCCTATGTAAAGTGAAAAGACTATCTGCTGTGTGACTGAGAAATGTTTGCAAATTAACCCTGAGTAAATGAAAATGTAACCTCCTGTTCCCTCGCTGTGCCAGCTGCTGACTCCAAATGCCTCCTGTCCTTAGGCGGCGGGAGAACAACCCTCAGAGACATAGCACTGACTAATAATTATTAATAATTCAGGTAGAATGTTAAATATTAAGTGTGTAAGTGTAAAATGGCAACAAAAAAACAGGTGTGGGGTGAAAGTGCTTACAGAAGCTTCCAGGAAAAACATGGATCCCTGCACCCACCCTGTATCCGGAGGGAAGCACCAGCAGGGGCTATTCATCTCGCTCTGAGAGATAAATCAATACAGTCATTAGGACTTAAGGCAAAAATAAAAAAGAGCTGAAAGAAAGGAAGCGCAAACACCAGGAAAGAAGTGCACTGTCGTGTGCAAACCCAGTGGCTGGGATTGGTTCCCTGGCTGGGAATCGAACCCAGGCCGCGGCCGTGAGAACGCCAAGGCCTAACCACCCGTCCTCCAGGGACCCAGTCATGGTAGAAACTATTTTTCAAAATCTATACTGGTTGACAAATTTCTTCATTATACCCAAGGTTGTAGGAGGAATTTGGGAGATGGTGGGGATATGGTGATGCTACTTGGGTGGTGCGGGAAAAATAGTATTTAAATGCTCATTTTCACTGGCTTCAAAAGCAGTATTTATTGGTGGCAAATACAACAGCACTGCAAAAACTTCTAAAAAGTTACTCCACCATCCAGCAGGTGAAGCACAAGGCGGTAGTAACATAGAAACACACACTTCTTCTAGCCTTGTAAGCATCTCAAAACTAATTAGTCTAAGAACCGCTTAGAAACTATAAAAAAAAAAGTGCAAACTTTTTTGCTGTAAAGAGACAGACCAGTGGTTGCTGAAATTCTAATTAGTGACTGTCGGCTGAAGTACAGGTCTATATTTTGCTATTGCAGATTATATTCTTCCTCTCTTTCTCCTTTTCCTTTTCTAAAAGATCTCTAAAAACTTGTATCCTTGGCTCAATTGCTGAGATGCTCTCATGCTTTCAATGTGCCTAAATCATCCACCTTATCACGATTAATCTGACAGCTTACAGTGCTTTGTAAACACTGTACAGCAGTCATCTTCTTGAAAACTGGAAAAACATCATTCTTCTTTATGTCTGTTTCTCTTTTGTTTTTGTTTTTGTTATCACACAGATTAGCTAGATTAGCCATCATATTTCATGACATCTCTTTTGATTGAGCGTCCACACCAGGCAGGCTTCTCTTCGTACTGCACAACCTTGTTGTTGTAGAACAAAATAAAGCTTTCTGGAATTCAAGTCACGTAATAGTTATTTACACATCATATCACGTGTAAATAAAAGCTAGCTAGATTAGCTGCACACACAGTTTTGAACGCAGTCTGTGTTTCACATGTGCTTCCATGAATTAGTCAGTGAAGTTAGACATTCTCTCAAACAACCAAATGAAAAAAAACATGAATCCCTGTGTCATATAACATATTTATTCTCATATTTAAATCAATGGGGTTAAATCAATTATTAAAAAAAATCAACGATGAGGTGGTGTGTGAAATGGAGTTACTGTGACCACCTGGAAGTTGATTATTTTCCAAGAACAGTACATTCTGAAGTGTGTTATTCCTCTAATACCAGAGCAATTTGCCAGTGATTACTTTTCTTTAATTAATGAACAACACGTCATTCTTTTTATCCATAAATAGTTACATTTAATCCTGTGGAACATGAGACAATTCCTGGAGATTCCTGTGTCAATCACTTACGTTACACCAGCTATACAGTCGTTCCCTCACCAGCCTTTCTTTGTTCTCTTTCTTGAAGTTAATAAGATTAAAAAAAAAACTCCTCTGTCCTGAAGACTTTCCTGTGGTGGAAAAACGAACTGACACTGCAGACTCCTTCCATAAATGATACACATCTTGTTACAGAAAGCTTCACCATATCAATGATTTCACGTTTTTCTTTGTTAAAACACAGTCCTTAATCTGCCTTATATTACGTAGCCTTACATTACGTAGTTTGTACACAATATAAGTCCCTGTGAATGAGCTGTTACTATAGAAACTATAATTAGAACAAGCTCATTAATATAAACCTGTGATTTGCATTACTACAATCAGAGCCACTGTTATTAAAATTAATCACCTTCTGACCAATCAGATTAGAGGATTCAACAGCTATGTGGTATAAGGGGTACACATTCCCTCACCCACCCACACGTTCCCACTCCCCTGTTTATACTGGTATTGAGCCAAGCATTACTGTGAGGTGTGTGTTCTAGGTTAGTGTTACTCTAGAACTGCAGCTGTTCAGTCGGCTGACAGACAGACAATAGCTGGGTGTAGAGAAAGGGGGGGAGCTGCTGAGCGCTGGCATACGATTAAAGGCAACTCAGAACACACACACAAACATACACACACATACACACACACACATATATGCACATACATACTCAGAGCACTACTGCTATTCCTTTCACAGACGATGGTGACTCTGTGATGCTTACAATCACAAAGCAGTTTTCTCTGCGTGAGGTTTTAAATTAAACCAAACCGTAGTTGAATGAGCCTGGGTGTGTTTTGTTTGGGTTACAAAAGCCACTGTGGTGACATTCTGGGTGTCTGTGCGTGTGTGTGACTGAGGTGTGGGGGTCAAGGTTTGGATTAGAGGCTCAGTAATCAGTGTGGGCTTGTGGTGTGTGTAAACAGTATATACATGTTGTGTTTGTGTTGATGGATAAAAAGTGGATTAAGAATAGGAGTAGGAGATTAAAGGTCAGCAGTCCATTGTAGGTGTGTCTGTGCATGTGTGTGTATGTGTATGTGTGTGTGTGTGTGTGTGTTGGTCAGCGAAAGGGTGAGCTTGTGGGATGTGGGTCAACACAACTCGAACCAGCTGCAGCTCTAAGCTGGACTCCCCTCCACACACATATACAGTCTCTTTCTATGCCAACTCTCATACCCTCAAAAGACCCCCACTATATGAAGCTCTCTCTTTTCAATTTCACACACACACATACACACACACACACACACACACACAAACACATATATATAGAATAAACCTCTTTTTCTAACCACACACACATATACAGAATAAACCTCTTTTTCTAACCACACACACATATATAGAATAAACCTCTTTTTCTAACCACACACATACACACACACACACACAAACACACACACACACACACTCACTCACACTCATTCTTTCTTACAGACACGCCCCGCTTTGTGTCTTCCTCCCCCCGCATCCCATTAAAAGCCCCCATGTGATTTTCCTCCTTCCTTTCACACATGCCTAAACCAGAACATCCCATTTTTAATTTTCTCATCTGTTCCTGGGATAAATCAGCGGGTTTTCCTCTGCAAGTGTGCGGGAGTGAAACATTTTTTTTTACGCACACTCTAAAATCATGAAAAAATGTAAATATCATTGTGGTGTACGCTATTACAAGCTTCATATCACATCACACTGTATCTTGTTACAGATTATTAAATAACGACATGAATGAATGAAACCTATTTCTTCAATTTTATCACATTGTAATAACTTGCTCAACAGACCCACTGATTATTTTTTCATTATTCATTTTTTAGGGTTCACATTACAAAAGGAAGGAAAGCTGTTTACTCATTCAAAGCAGCTATTATAACGTGACAATCCTCTGAGGAATCGTGCTGCCGTCATGTGACACTGGAACTACGGGAAAAACTTCTGACTCAGGTCCTGACTGAAAATCGGCAAGATCAAGTCGTTATCACAGGCGGACATTTCAGAAACGATGTAAAATAGGATTGCCAACTTTTCAATGAACCAAAACCAGACATGCCTCAACATACATTTTGTTTCACTTCTTTTGGGCTTCTTTCTCTTTTTGGAGACATTTTGTGCTTCTTCATTTTAGCCAGACCTACTTTGTGATTGATCATTGTTTAAAAAAAAAACATACAAACAAATAATACTAAATGATATAATTGGCCTAAAATTGCCAGTGCAAGAGGGGAAGTGGGGCAAAAAAGCTGCTTTTTATTGCTTGTTTTTTCCCCACAATTCAGAAGAACACTGCAAAAAAGAGACAGATTAGACAAATTAAAACCAGACAGGTACTGTTCGTGTGAAAAAAATCGATCAAGTGGCAACCACAGTTTGCATCTTGTTATTAAACTTTACTCTTTAATTATGGCAGAGGAAGAGACAGTTTCTGTGGTGGATGATGGGTATTTCTTCATTTATCTAAATACGACTTATTTCTAGACAACTTATTACTCCTCAGACACTGCATTAAGCATGTTTATTTTTACACAATGGGGAAAGCTTGCTTCTAGCCAACATACACTATATGGCCAAAAGTTTGTGGACACTATCACACCCATATGTGCTTCTTCTTCTTCATAATGTTGCCACAAAGTTGGAAGCACACAACTGTATAGAACGTCTTTGTATGCTGTAGTATTACAGTTTCCCTTCACTGGAACTGAGAGGCCCAAAGCTGTTCCAGCATGACAATAGCCCCTGTGCACAAAGCGAGCTCTATGAAGACATGGTTTAGCCCTGACCTCAACCCCACTGAACACCTCTGGGATGAACTGGAACCCCGACTGCACCCCAGGCCTCCTCGCCGAACATCAGCGCCTGATCTCACTAATGCTCTTGTAGCTGAATGAACACAAAACCCCACAGTCACACTCCAAAATCTAGTGGAAAGCCTTCCCAGAAGAGTGGAGCTTATTAAGACAAAAGAGGAATGGGAGGCTCAAATAGCACATATGGGTGTGATGTTCAGGTGTCCACAAAGTTTCTGGCCATATAGTGTAGTGTAGTGCACTCTAGCACAAAAACATCGTAATATTGACTTTGAAAGAGAAAGAGAGATTATGTTAAGGCAGCACCACTCCTGAAAAACGACTAGTATCTGCTTTTGTGTGTATCTTTGAATGGCCATCGATATCACTGGTCTCACAGTATGGAATGGTCCAGGCAGTGAATTTGTTCCAGTGTTCCAGTCTCACACACACACACACTTCTGTGGGGATTAGCCCTGTCTCTGGCAGCTTGAGCTTAATCTATGTCAGCGCTGAGGCAGCTGCCCTCTCTCTGCTCTACATGGCCATGATGTGAGCCCAGATGACCCTGATGAGTCTTCCCCGTACGTTCCACTCTGTAGCACCTCCTCACCTCACTGTCACACTCTGACCCTGTTAATGGGCTCAAAACGGTCAACCAGACCTGACTAAAAAAACTGAAGAAGACTCCAGGCAGAGTGTCAGTGAAAGTGTCAGTATTGCAGTATGAGAGGATGCAGGATTGCACTCATTCCAAATTACATGATACAGAATGGCTAAGTGACCATATGTGCTCTAATATACAGTACAGTTTTTCATTTAAGAGCTTTGATTAGCTCCTGCATCACCTTTTATAGCACAATATGCTAATGCATAGTAAACCCACCCCGAAATGCGACTTTGACAAATTACCAGCCCAA